ATAAAATAAAAAAGGAATTTTAAAATTAGTAGGGAGTCTACTTTTCATTTATTTTTAATAAAATTTATTTTCCTCTCATTGCGACATTGTTTGCCCTTTTGACACGTTATGATAATAACAACTATCAAAATTTAAGGCTGTATTCTGATATTGTAAATATAGAATCCAAGTGATCACATTCTTAGAATCGGATCTTCCCTGATACTCATCATATTAATGTAGTCATTTTAATTTATTAATTTGAAAAACGCCTAAGTAGTTTTATAATCCACGCAGGTTGCTGGTACTAAATTCAGGCAAATGAAATGGAAAATAAAAAATAAAAATCAATATATCCACAATTGGCAAAAACTTTATACGAAAATAACAAAATTAATTGAATGTGCAATTCACTAAAATAAAAACATATAATATAATTATAATTTTAAGAGAATAACTAACTAGTTTAATATATTTTATATAAACATTGTTTACATATTTCTATTTCACACTCTCTCAGGTAAGATAAAAACTACACTCCGCTTACATAACTTAATAGTAGAAGCAATACATTATTTGTAACACACTCTTTATTATTCACTATAATATATTGTTAATTGAAATTTATAGAAAATTACAAAAATTATATGATTCATACTCATTATTGTTCCAAAATTAATATTTTCTTCTCTTACTTTTTTTAGTTTTCACTGGCCATTAAAATATTCCGTTGATATAAGTAATCCAAACAGAGAAAAAAAAATTAAAACTATGAAAATCGTGGGCTTGGTTTTTCATTTTGATGTCTATTTAGCCTCTGCTACAGTAATAAGATCAGTGTATCCAACTTTTTTCCTCATGCAGCTCGTCAAATTTGCAGCATCCACCCCATCTCCAATCACCACCACTCGATCTTTACTCTCCCCTTCTATGCTCACAGAACTTACACCTACATCATTAACCAATTGCAAATTTCACTAATCACATTTATTTGTGTATGTATCAAGTTCATCTTTGAAGTAGACCCACGTTATGCGTAGCATATACATGAAATGTAACATACATATTGTGATGATTATGACTCATAAACATGAACTAATTAATATAAAATATAATTAACAGCGATTTTAACTATAATTAACATAATGTGACAAATATACTTAAGATATGTTTGGATTTTAGAATATTTTTTTTTTAATTTCCTGTACAAATCTTTGAAAGCAAGAGGTAGCAACTTTATAATTAAAAATGAAAATGGAAAATAAAGAAAAAAGAAAATGTTTTTTTATAGAAAAACCTATTACTTTTTGAAGTAAAGTTGAAAAGAAAAAATATGATCAGATTGCTTACTGTTATTGCTTGCACCAATTGATTCATGTAACAGGTGGGAAAAGGGCACAATGCGAGTCAATTTAAGCATAATGATAATATTTAATGTCATTAATTTATCATTTAATATATAGGTCTTATAGCCAAAATCTAATAATTCATATATTTGATATTCTAAAATGTAATAATCTCATTAAATTAGTGATTTTGTAAAATCTTTTGTATAAAAAATATAATTAATGCATTTCCTCCATGATGATTAGATAATATATATTCTAAATGAAGAACGAACAATGAAGTTAAGGTATCGACACCATTAGATAGTATACACATTGTTTAAAGATGTGAAGATTTTAGAAAATTATTAAGATATCAATGCCATATATAGCATGCTTCGAACTTTTATATATTATATAGAAATAGATTGCTAAGTATAACAAATAAAGAACCAAGAAAGTGTGTGAAGGCTCACAAACCGTTGGCTCCAGAAGCAACCATAAGTGCTTTAGCCCTGCATTTCTGGCATTTCATTTGCACTCTCATCACAATCTTTTGCTGCAATTTGAACCACATGCAGAAAGGGTTTCATATATATAAATGCATACACACACATACATATATATAATACAGAATAGAAAGTGTAGATACTTACCTTCATGTTTGCTGAATTAATTCTTTAATGGGTTTCTCAAAGACAAAAACCACTTTGTTGAAAAGAATGCACATTCCCAGCCTTTCTTTTATGCTTGTAGTTGATAACAGAAGTCAAGTCAAGAGAAAATATTTATTGCAAAGATGTGAAATGTCTCAATAGAAGATGAATAACTAAACTTCCTCTGCAAGTATATGGCCAAATTTATTAAACATTGACATATAATAAAAACTTATATATATCACATAATTTAATGTATTAATATGAATGAATAGGTAACCTATTCAAAATAAAAAGACTAGGATTGAAATAACGTTGTTAACAAAGTTTGGTGAGGAAGGTAACCTATTCATATTTTGAATAAAAAATGGATGCTGTTGAATTCCAAATCTTTAGCATAGTGATTTACGGTTCAACAGAAAAAGATTAAGGACGCGTTTGGCTATCATTATGACTTTAGGTGGGAATAATGGGTTAGTTGGTTGAACCAAAAGCAGAGTTTTGGGTTGGAAAAACTACCTCAACTACTATTTTTCCAAACATAGCTTTAGAAATTGCACTACTTGCAAAATTCATGGCATGTGATAATTAAGAGCACACTTTCTTACCCTTCCAAAAGAAGCAAATGAAAGAAGGCCTTTATATACATTATCTTTTTTAGTATATGGAGTATGCGGCAAGGACACATTTTTTTTAATAATGAAATGAAATTTATTAAATAGATAATTCAAATCTAATTATTTTACAAATGTCAATCAAATTTTAATTGATGACATATAATATATTAAGAAATTAATATTTCTTTTATAATATTTGGACTTTTCTAAAGTTTAGAATAAGACTCGGAAATTAGAAGTTTCCTTGAAGCCCAAGAGTGGACTTAAAAAAAGAAAACCTTGACTTTGCAATGGCAGTGTTTCTCTCGTAAAGGAGAATTTTTTGGATGGTACATGAAATTCTTTGAACTACTCACATTTTATTACGTGTTTATTTTTTTATATAAAAATATATATGTATTATATTATTATTGGTTGGGAGCGTGATGTTTAGAGCCTATAAAAAAATCTCCCCGTAAATAGATGGTTGATATCCATGTTTTTCTTCCTGTCATCTTTCTAACACAGTAACGATGATAATTGTCGCTACTCTGTTTCATCTGTCTTGGATTCGGATTAGTGTAAATTTCCTTAATTGAATCAAATTTTGCTTAAATAAATTTAATAAAAAGTAATTTTTGTTTAAGCAAAAAAATTCACTTAAATAAATTTAGTAAAATTCTTTTTACTTAAATTAAAATTACAAAAAAATTTAAAACTTTATTTTTTTCCTCTTTAAACTACAAAAAATTTAAAGAATCTTTATTTTTTATTAATGATTACTTAGTTACTAGAAACTCTTATATATATTATTTTAACAAATATTTTAAATATATTGTCTAGTATGTTACTTGTACTAAACATTAATTAAGTTAAATTATTAAAAATAATGATAAGAATTATAAAAATAATAACTTTGAGAAATAATTAAGAAATAGTTGCATTATCACATGTTTTAAAATATTTAAATTTTTGTAATATGATCATAAAATGTGACCACATGATCTTACACAAATATTTTTCAACTTTTTTTTTACTTTAAAGAGGAAGAAGATGCAGTTTTAAAATTTTTCACAATTTTAGTTTAAATCAAAATTACTTTTTACTAAATTTTCTTTTTGTTTCATTTAAGCAAATTTAAACCGTAGACTGCAGTTTCTTTTAAAATTGCAGAGAATTTAAATTCATTTCATCTTAAATCCATTTTATTTTGAAAAATTTTAATTTAAATAATAATTATAATAAAAAATATTAAAATATCTCTATTAAAAGTGATAAAATTATTGTAATAATTAAGTGATAATTAGTTTTAAGTTTTTTTAGTTGTTAATTGATAAAATTATCCTTAATAAATAAAAAAATTATTAAAAAAAGTCGTTAATACTTTTTTATATTTAAAGTAATAAATAATTTGGAATCAATAAATCATGTTGATGTAACAATTAATATAAGATGAAAAAAGTATGTTACAAATAGTATAAAAAGAATAAATTTCTATGATAATTCTAAAGTGACTTCAATTTATAATTATATAAAAAATTGAATTTATAATGTTTACCCTCGTAAATTTTATAAAATATCCTTTACTTTAATGTTTAATATGAATAAAAAATTAAAATAAACATTTTATAAAATTAATAATTAAACTCAAAAGTTTATAAAAGTTAAAATTAAAGACTAAATTAATATTTTGGAGCCTTTAACTATTTTTATAATTTTAACTTAATCCATTAATTTAAAAGTATGACAAATTTGTCTCTTAACATTAAAATACTTAACAAGGTTAGACCAAATCCGTCAACGTTGTTATGGTTGAGTTGACGTTATCGTTACTTATTAGTCCTAAATGAGACAATATTTTTCTCTTTTTTATTTTGACTTTTGATGTTGGGAAGGAGCTGGCTTGGTTGAATTATGTGCCAATCCCAAGCTTGGAGTTAATTTCAGTATATGAATTCACAATGCATATGTTCAATACCTCAGTATTTGCTTATTCATTAAACTTGATTCCATTAAGTTGTTCATAGAAGGTGCCCTTTACACCCCCTATATAGCTTTTAATATCAAATAGTAGTAATAGAGGAATTGTTCAATATTTCAATCAATACATAAACCATTTCACCACAAACCATTTCACCACCTTGTATATTTGTGCTTTAGCAAATATGATGCTTGGGTTATCATATGACTACCGTCATGAACTATTTATAATGATGCACTTACACAAATGAATTTATATCAATGCACGTGTCTTATCACTAAAGCCATACAAAGCATTTCACAATCACCAAAAAGAAAAAGAAAAGAAACTGAAAATGGAAGATACAAGTGAGCAAAATCAGATAGCGAAAGTATGATGATCGAACATCACATCTACTCATGGTGGGAATTTCAACACTAAAGAAAATATTTTACGCATTTAGAACATGCGTATGTGATATATTTTAACCGGCTTTAACCTCTGCTAAGCTGATAATATGAGTTTGGCCAACCTTTTTCCTCAAAGAATTGGTTAACTTTACAGGATCCATGCCATCTCCAATCACCACCAAATTGTCTTTCTCTTCTCCCTCTAATCCCACAAAATTAACACCTGCATTAACCAAATCGCAACTTAATCAACTTCATTATAATTAAATATCCCATTTGCCAAGTTTAGAATGAAATTACCGTTTGCTGAAGCCACAACCTTGAGTGCCTTGGTGCGGCACTTCTGGCAATTCATGTCCACCCTCATCACAATCTTTTGCTGCCACATGAATAGAAAGAGAGAGAGAGAGAGAGTAATCAATTCATAGTCATAAAAAACAAAATAAAAACATATGATTCATAGCATTTCCTTAGAGGTAACTATCTACCTTCATGTTTTAGAAATTAAGCTCTTGGTTCGCGGTTATCGTAATTAGAACCAAGTTGCCCAAGAGTATTCAGTTCCGTGTACAATTTATATGCATAACATTTGTTCGTAAGCAAACTCAAGTCAATGTCAAGTACTAACAAAAACAATTACCAAATCAAAGTCAAGTAATGTTTGATTCAAACAGAATACACGATTACTATTTTGACCTAAATTAAAGTTGCTTTTCTATAGTGTCTAAATTATTAAATGTACGAAAATGTTAAATCCATGCACCTATGTCACATCTCCCAGGGGTGAAGTTTCAAGGAGTGGGTAATATGAACATATGGATCGTGTTGACAAAGTCATCAAGGCGTGTCCACAACGCGCAAGAGAAACACTCTTAATTTCTCCCATGTGCGAAACATATAAGTTTCTAGTTGGGTGCCGAAACGTGTGGAAATATATATGCATGGAAAAGTGTGTTATTTGAATAATTAAAAAGACATATTTAATGAAACAGTAACAATACTATTATTTTTAAGTGTTCATGTGTAAAATTATCCATGGCTACGCTATCAAATCCTATAGAACTATGCTAATATGCTGAGTTAATGAAGTATTTAAAGCTTTGTTTGAGAATTAATATATTTTTTGGTAGAAGGAAGAAACTAATATAATAATTATCTTTGTATAAGAATTTTTATATGAGAAAGATAGTTTAAAAACACTCTTAATCATATATTTTTAATTTAAAAGATTTTGTATTAATCATATTTTTTCTTTTTTAAACTTTCAAGTTATTTTTTCTTTTTCTCTATCCACAAACTCCCAAACAAAGCATAAATAAATTTATGTATATAATTAATTAATTACAAATTCTTTAAATTATTTAGTTAATCGCTAGTTTTGTCACGTACATGAACTGGTGCAATCAATTAGTTCTATCTCACATCTTTTTGGACAACAAATTTTTTAGGGGACAGTAGGCGCAATTTAAAATTTTTTAAATATTCTAATTATGATACAGATTTTACTTCCCTTTGTAAGAAAGTAAAAATATTCAGTTTAGAAGCGTTAAATCTTTAAAAAGTTAATTCAGTGATTAAGATAATTAGAAGACTTATATCATGATGTATGTCAAGGATTTACTCATAATGCATACCAAAAATGCAAGAGATTAAAAAAAAAAAAGAGTTTCAAAAGGTAACACTAAGTCACAGAAAAAATTTAGAGTAGTTTACTGAAGGCTTTCATTCAATTATGTGTTCCGGTTGTAAAAGGAAATAAAGAGGGAAAATCAAAGGAAAAGAGCCTTTGAACGAGTTTTGGGTATCTAGTCCTTTTCCATTGATGGGTGTTTGGTCTACTATACACAGTCATTGTTGCTAAGAGATAATAGTAATATGAGATAGATATGTCTGAGAGTGGCATCATTAAGGTGGGTCTGTATGAAGCTAGAGAAAATTCCATGGGGGAGGTGACAGGGAGATGGGAAATGGGAAAGTGACAAAACTGTTCAGTGAAGATGTGACTTTGAAACTATCCCTTTGTTTTATAAGACAGAAAATAAGAAAATTAAAGACTAAATAAGAATATAAATTTGAATTATTAAAAAAAGAAAAATAAATTTCATATTTTTAAATTTTATTTTTTAGCTTTTTCAAACGAAATCTATATGTAGTTATTTATGTCTTCTTTCTCTTTTCTTTTTTATTTTTTCATCCACATAGACCATATATGTATTGTTTTTCCATCCTAACCACTTGAGTTATTTTAAGAGGACAATAAATTACTATATACTTATTATTTTTTCATTGAAAAAATATTTTTAAAAATTATTTCCAATTATAAGATAAATATGATTAACTTGAATAAATAAAAAAAATATATAGATACTTAGATTCAAGAAAAAATGAAAATTTAAAATAATATATAGTTTTAGTGTAACTAACTGATAATTGAGTAAAACAAAAGTTATTTTAATGTAAAAAAATAAAAAGGAAAAATTATAAAAATTTATGTTAAATAATTTTAAAAAAATATGATTAATAAAAAAGAAAATACAATATCCCTTGTTCAAAAATAATATAAAATACTTTACACGTGTGCTAATAACTAGAACAGTGAAATAAGTATTGATAAGAGTTAAAAAAGAGTTATTTTATTCTTTTTGGTTTAACTTTCATTGTGATACTAAGAGAAAATCATATTCCTAATAAAATTTAATTTAAATGGATTAGCGTGTTATACTGTTATATAACGATGAATTAATACATATTTAATAAAATTGACAAATTCTCAACGCTAGACAATGCTAAACATAACAAATAATATAACTATACGTGATTAAATTAGAATTATAATTTTTTTAATATTGATAACATAATAAAATAAAACACCTCTTGATTATCAATCCAGTGATTTAAAAGGTTTTGATCAGCATAGTAGGTAATGTTATCAGCAAGCTGGAATAGCTCAGTTGGTTAGAGCGTGTGGCTGTTAACCACAAGGTCGGAGGTTCAAGCCCTCCTTCTAGCGGTTTTATTTTATATATATATATTTCTATGAAAAAGTGTTTTTTTCAACAAAAATTAATTGAAAAGGTTTGAGAATATAGTAGTATCATAAGAGTATCAAATTCACTGGACTTGTTCTTTCTTTGGGCCTTCTGCTGTATCAATAAATTTCTCAATTCAAATGACACAACATGGCCCTAAAGTGGCCCATGATTGTGATGTTTCATGTATTTTCGACCATGCATGCTACTTGCTTCATTCCTTTGCTTAAATACTTCCATACCCAATATGATTTTATTTTTGAAAAAAGTAAAATTAGCAGTACACTTCATGTTCATGTTGACTTTCTCAGAAGTAAACACACCTCAACTGTGTAAATTGTAATGTGTAAACATGGTACATTCCTGCAAATTTCCAAAACCACTTCCATGTTCAATTTAAAACATCACTAAGTTGGTGAAAAACGGTGAAGTTGGACTTTTTGAACACATAAATGTTATTTTTTAAGTTATTTATCAAAATAACACGAAAATGTATCATTAATTTGAATTGAACTTTACCATGTGACATCACTTCTTCTTTTTTCACTACTTGTGTGCACAATTTGCGCTGCTTTAAGTATGATGTTCAGATGTTGCGTTGCGTTGCCTACTCTAACATAATACTAAAAAAGTTTACAAAATTTGAGTGGTTACCCATGAATGCATGCTTCAAGCATATAATACAAGTGCATGCAAAGCAAAACAAAACAACACAGATCTACACAGAGTACGAGGTGTTCCTTGGATCGTGATAAAAAAAAAATGATATATACAGAAACCATCGTGAAAAGACTTCGAAAAATAGTTTTGATTTTATGTGCACATAACTTATGCTCAATATATCTCAATAGCATCGTCCTGTACATGCATGTGGTGAGTCCTACGCTACTGTACTTGTTTGGTTGCCATGAAAACAACATGAAAGAAAAGAACGAGGAAAAGAATAAGTCTATATACCCATATTATTGAAAAACATATTAATAGCATAATTTATATTTATTTTAAGGACAAAATCAAAATTTTTGGTGTTTTAAAAACGTATAATTTTTTATTTGGTCCTCTATTTTTTGTAAAATACTTTTTTATAAAATATTTTTATTTAAATATATTTTTAGCCTCCACATTTTATTGACGTTTGACTTTTTATTATTTTTAATTTTAATACTTTTTGTCCACAATAATGATGTGATTAGTTAAAAAAAATGTAACATATTGATGTTTTTCTTAAGTCACATTAATAAAAAAGACTAAAAATACTTAATGTTAAAAATCAAGAACTAATATGAAATGTCATAAAAATATAATAAATAAAATATATTTAAGCCAATATATGTTTACTAAATTGTCTTTTGTGGTTTTTGTTTCTCATTTAGTTTAAATATCATAGGCTGTCATATATATCACAAATTTCATATTTGATCCTCAAAATATTATAAATTTATCATTTGGAGGGATTAACTACAAAAAATAAATGAAAAAAATCAGTTGATAACAAAAGGTCTTTTATGAAAACTCATTTAGAATTAAAATAAATAGATAAATTGAAAAATGTAATTTTGTGGGATAAAAATTTAATTTAACAAAGTGAAATGTATTGAGGAAAATTGTAGAGCAGAAACCCTGTGTTAATTTTCATCCACAATATGAAAATTTTTCTTTGCGTTATTGTTTTATGAGTTAATTATTTTGGTAAAAATGGAGGTGAACACTTATTGTTTTGTGGGAAGGAATATCAAGTTAAAGCTCAAATGATTAATGATATATGATACATTTCAAAATATTTATACATAGATCCTCCGTCAAAACATATTTGGTGATAATATATTAATGATATATCAGAATGGAAGTCATTTATTTATTATTGTACAATTAAGATATATAATAAAATTAGGTGAAAAAAATTAAGAGTATAGATAATTAATTTGAATTTATGCTATGAAGAGCTACCATGAAAGTTATATACTTTTTATAAAAATTTATGATATAAATAAAATGCTTTTATTTTTTAAACTTAAAAAAGATATATGACTATGGATTAAGCAAAACATTATAAAAATATTTAAAAAGAAAATAATTTTATATAACATATATTCAAAGTACAAAAAGACACATGTAATAAGATAATTACAAGTGTGATAAATTACTTTTATATAACATATATTTTTCTATTTTTTTGAAAAGTTACTTTTATTTTTCTAAAACTAGAAAGGATAAATTATTTTTAATTTATAAAAAAAATATTTATTTTTATATATTTTTTACAAAACTTATCTACAATTTCATCCAAACATAATCTAAGTTTAACGACATTATATGATTCCATTGTGTGATAAATGTTAGTGATTATTTATGTAAATAATTAAGATTAATTAACCTAAACTCTTGTATTAGTCTCTATTACTCATA